TTTTTTTTTCTAAATGTGCAAAAGCAATTCAATGGAAGATGAATAATTTTTTCAATAAATGGTGCTGGAGCAGTTGGATATCCACAAACAAAAATGCTTCAACTTAAACCTTACATATTACACAAAAATTAACTTGAAATGGTTAGTACATTTAAGTGTAAAACTATAAACATTTTGAAGATAACATCAGAAAATCTTTAGTACCTAGGGCTTGGTGTAGATGTCTTAAAGAAGATACTAAAATTATTATTCATAAAACAGTGATAAATTAGACTTTATCAAAATTAGAACTTTTGCTCTATGCAGACCTCATTAAGAAAATTAAAAAGACAAGCTACAGACTAGGAGAAAATATTTGCAAACCATATATCTGACAGAAGACTCATATGTAGAATACATAAAGAACTTTCAAAAATCAATTTAAAAAACAACAAATAATCCAATTAAAAATGGGCAAAGACATGAAGAGAAATTTCACTGATGAGAGTATATTATGGCAAATGAGTACGTGAAAAGGTATTTAATATCACTAACCATTAGGGAAATACAAATTTAGATAATGATGAGATATTACTCCACACCTCTTAGAACAGCTGAAATAAGGAATAGTAACAACACTAAATCAACATTTGGCAAGGATGTGGAGAAAGTGTATCTCTCATATATTGCTGGTGGGAATATAAAATGGTATAGACACTTGACAACAGTTTGGCAGTTTCTTAAAAAATTCTAAACATATACATTTTCCATACAGTCCAGTAATCGTATTCCTGGGCATCTATTAAATATTCATTGGAAATTTATGTTTACACAAAAATCTGTACACAGTTGTTCAGAGAAGCTTTATTTGTAATAGCCCCAAACTAGAAACAACCAAACTGTCCCTTGATAGGTGATGGTTAAACAAACTGTGGTACATCCATACTGTGGAATGTTACTCAGTAATAGTAAGGAATGCACACACACAACTTGGATCTCAAGGACATTACAGTGAATGAAAAAAGTCAGTCTCAAGAGATACATAATTCCCTTTATATAACATTCTTGAGATGACAGAGTTATAGAGATGGAAAAACAGATTAGTGGCTTCCAGAGGTTAGGGTTGGTGTTGAGGAGGGAATATGAGTACAATTCTAAAGGAATAGCATGAGGGAGATGTTTGTGGTGGTGGAATATTTCTGTTTCTTGATTGTGGTGGTGGTTATATGAGTCTGTACATGTAATAAAACAGAAAAAGCCCAGCAAAAACTTGCTTTCAGATAAGTCTGTCTCTGGGATGATGGTGTAAATTGAACCATAGAGTTTGTCCCACCTGGAGAAAAGAAATAGGAGCGTACCGTGGAGATATTGCAGGTTTGATTCCAGACTACCACAATAAAGTGAATATTGCAGTAAAAAATTGATATAGAACTATACACGCTCATTGTACTAATGTCCAATTCCTGATTATATTAATTATGTAAGATGTGACTGGTGGGGAAACTGAATGAAGATTACATGGGTCCTCCCTATACTACCTTTGCAGTTTCCTATTTATAATTATTTCAAAATGAAAGTGAAAAAAAATGCATGTTTTACTTCAGTGCATCTTATCGTAATCTAAAGAAAACACAGATGCCAAATGTGCTTTTTGGAGAAGTAGTGCCAGTCATTTAAAAAATTATCTTCTATTGAGGTAACATCACATAACATTAAAATTGACCATTTTAAAGCATACAACTCAGTGGCTTTTAGTACATTCACAATGTTGTGCGATCATCACCACTATCTAAGTCCAAAACACTTTATCAACCTGAAAGGAGACCTTGTACTTATTAAGCAGTCACTCCCTACTCCCCCTTAACCTGCAATCCCTGGAAAACCACTAACCTACTTACTGTCTGTACTGTGGATTTACCTATTCTGGATGTTTTATATAAGTGGAATCATACCAAATGTGACCTTTTTTGTCTGGCTTCTTAGCGTAATGTTTTCAAGGTTCATCCGTGTTGTTGTATGTGTCAGTACTTCATTCTTTTTGTGGCTGAATAACATTCTGTTGTAAGGATGTACCACAGTCTGTTTATCTGTTCTTCTGTTGATGGACAGTTAGGTTGTTTCCACCTTTTGGCTATTGTAAATAGTGCTGCTATAGACATGTGGTGGCAGTTTAATACAAGAAAAAAGTTATTTCCAAAGTTCATGGTTTCCTTGTGGAAGATGTAGAGTCCATGCAGGTTATATATCATGGGTTGCAACTAGTAACTCTAAGGCTTTTGTAATTTATTTGGGAAAGATGACTTGTCACTGCGGTTTTCCCATTCATTCATCCCAGGTGAATCAGATATTGGAGTGATTAGAGATAACAACACCGGCACTGACTGCTTATTTTGGGAGGAACAAATAAGAACGCTTTATGAGATCAGAGACAAAATGTCGTAATAGCAATCGTAAATTATTAGATGAAAGTCAACATTGTGCTCATCAAGTGATCGAGACATAAATATTTTATTCCTTAAAGGCTTTATAAAAACATAAATTTAGGAGATAAAGTACTTTAACAGCAACAAAACAGTATGAACCATGGAGGTGCTTAATCTCTTGGGTCCAGTTTATTTAATATGTGGTCATCTTTGTGTTCTTAAATGCTTCAGAAATTAGATATATAACACTTTAAAGGCAATAAGGTCACTGTTTTATAATCCTAGAATTCAAGAACTCTCCAGAAATGTTTTTAGGCATATCCAAGTAAGTTTATTCTTCCTCTGTACAGAACAAATCCAGCTCTTTCACAGCCTTTCTTCTTGGTTAGCTCTTTCAATTTTAAGCCATTGGTTTTCAACCACAGTGCACATTAGAACCACCTGATAACATTTTCTAAAATACCATTGTCTATGCTGCTACCTAGATCAACTGAATCAGAATCTCTAGGGACAAGCTGAAGCATCTTATTTATGTAAAGATCTCAAGTGATCCTAAGGTGCTGCCAGAGTAAGGGAGTAGTGCTTTAAACCAGTGGTTCTCAAACTTTATGAGCATCAGAATTACCTACAAGGCTTGTTAAAAAGAAGCTGGGTCCCACACTCAGGTTTCTGATTCAGTAGTTCTGGATAGGAGCTGACATTTTGCATTATCAACAAGATCCTAGATGGTGCTGATGCTGCCAGCCCAGGATCCAATTTTGAGGATGATGAATTAATCTTGTCCTTTTCACTCAGTGAAGATGAGGACTGGTCAAAGTCCTCCATATAAATACCCTGAAAATGATTCTTTTCCCTTATTTTAGAGAATTTCCTTTAGCATGGTAAGATAATGGGCCCCATAGTCAGAATGCCTGGTCAAAATGCCACTTCTATATAACTTTGGTCAAGTTCCTTATTTTCTAAAGCCCCAGTTTCTTCATCTGTGAAATGGGTATTATATGCTTGTTTTGAGGATTAAATTTGATAATATATGTAAAATGATTGACATACAGTAAATGTATTTGTTAACTTTTCTTGATAGCTTTCATCTTCAACTATTATAACTTTCCTTGGGTCTAATTGGCTATCAAGTTCTGTGCTTCTTATTGGTGTAACAAATAAGGAAATGTATGTTAAAAATCAGGAGGATAGTTAATTTGGGAATTCAACCGAGGTTCTCAGAGAACTAACTGAGAGTTTATATATATGTAATGATTAAAAGCTTCATCTCTGGAGTCAGAGAACCCTGGGTTTGAGTCCTGTCCAAAACTTCTCTGTTTTCCTCTGAAAAATGATGGTAATAAAAGTTCCCTACATATTGGGTTATTGTGATTGTAACAGGACAGATAATGCAAGTACAGGGATTAGCACAGTCCTGGACATATCTTAGGTATTCAATAAATGTTAACTATTATTAAACTGAGGGTAATTGATTCCTAACTGCTCCTTTAAATATTAACTCTCCTTTTTCCTCTTTTGAACTGGTGTGTTTTTATAGCTCTTTGAGGTATGTTAGGAAGGAATGTAAATTCTCCAAGGGGAATGCAACTATTGAAAAGAAATTTGTTTACTATTTCCTCAACACTCTTCTAAATGCAAGACCGAAAAGCAGTGAAGATTTACTTTTCAAACACTGAATAACTTCACTATTATTTCCATTGCCAGAATTAAGAGAAAAGCTGTTGAAACTCCTGGTCAATCATTAGTCTCAATTTCAGGCCTTCAGTTGGGCATTTCTGTCAGTGGACAGCCTTACAAAATAGGGCTGCTGCCAGTTCTCTGCTGTGACTTCCTGGCTGGGATGTAGGGAAGTCCTTCATATGCTCTCTGGCAGTGTAAGTGCAGAAACCTCTATTTCAAAGGCTTTTTATTTTTTGTATTTTTTATTTGACTACAGAATGGAAATAATCCCCCAAATACTCTGGACATGATGCAAACTGATCTTGAGGGACTGCAATATCTACAATAGTCTTTTCCATAGATATAGTGACTGGAGGTATTGTTTTATTCATTTTGCAAGAAAGGGTGACTCTGCTGTTGATAGCACTAAGTCTTGTTTCCCAAAGTGTGGTACAAATTCCACTGGGGATATGAAATATTTGATGGGTGTTGCATGGACAGATGCTTATTTTAATATTTAGTGTTTATTTTAATATACATTAGGAAAAAGCACACATGCTTGTTTTTCCAGATACTCTTGTTTAAGGTAAATCTAAAATACATAGAAAGCTTAAACTTTGAGGTAGGGAAACAGGTAAACAGTAGTATAAGGGGCATGTATGCAGTTTTGATAAATACAATGAAGGTGAATGTGATATAGATTCAGGAAACGTTTTGCAAAATATGCAGGCTGTTTGGTACCTCAGGAGCTAACGGTCCATCTGTATATATCACAAGTAGAAGGAACATTTACCGATGGAGAATGAAATGGCTATGACAATCTTTTCCATTTTTCATTTATGTATGGTTGTCTTCTATTCTAGCCTTTCTTTCTTTGCCACAATTGTCCCCTTTAAAGATTTTTACTAAAAGTGAGAGGCAACAGGAAAGCAGACTAAGATGACAACAGCAGCTAGGCCAACTTTTGAACCTGCAAGAGGGGGGAGAGGTAAAGGAGAAGGTGATTGGAGCCAACTCTCAAAGCAATATTCAAGCAGAGACCTACCCTCTCATACAAAGATAAAATATAGACAGACCACTCAGGATGCCCCTGAAGAAGTTCGGAACCGTGACTTCAGGAGAGAGTTGGAAGAGAGAGAGAGAGCTGCTGCAAGAGAAAAAAACAGAGACCGGCCAACCCGAGAACATACAACCTCCTCTTCAGTGTCAAAGAAGCCTCGGCTGGACCAGATCCCTGCTGCCAACCTCAATGCAGACGACCCTCTAACAGATGAGGAAGATGAAGATGAAGATTTTGAAGAGGCGGGGCTTCCCTGGTGGCGCAGTGGTTGAGAGTCCGTCTGCCGATGCAGGGGACACGGGTTCGTGCCCCGGTCCGGGAAGATCCCACATTCCGCAGAGCGCCTGGGCCTGTGAGCCACGGCTGCTGAGCCTGCGCGTCCGGAGCCTGTGCTCCGTGACGGGAGAGGCCACAACAGTGAGAGGCCCGCGTACCACAAAAAAAATAAAAGATTTTGAAGAGAAGAGTGATGATGATGATGCTGCAGCTCTTCTTGCGGAGCTGGAAAAAATTAAAAAAGAAAGAGCTGAAGAGCAGTCCAGGAAGGAACAAGAACAAAAGGCTGAAGAAGAAAGGATTTGTATGGAAAACATTCTGAGTGGAAACCCTCTCCTTAATCTCACTGGCCTATCCCAGCCTCAGGCCAACTTCAAAGTTAAAAGAAGGTGGGATGATGATGTTGTTTTCAAGAACTGTACAAAAGGTGTAGATGATCAGAAGAAAGACAAAAGATTTGTAAATGATACGTTGCGATCTGAATTTCACAAAAAGTTCATGGAAAAATATATTAAATAGTACAGTTTTATGTGCTTAATTAAAGGCTGTAAAATGTAAACTATATGACTTTATTTTGGTTTTTTTGTTTTTCTCTCCCCCCCCCCATCTAAATTGTGTATAGGCTTCCCTAACTTTAAGTTCCAAAATATCTTTTCCTTTATTGATTCCTAACTTGATAAGGACTGGGAATTGGTTTCACCAATTGCCATCTCAGTATTTCCAGTCATATGTTTTTCTTTTGAATATGGGAAAAGGAATCTGCTTGTAATAAATATTTTTAATAATCTGTGTCAAAAACAAAGATTTTTACTAATTATAAGAGAAAGATAAAGAGGAAAGAACCAACACACATGTTCAGTGAAAAATAAGATATACATTTTTTAGATTTAATGGGTACTTCATTTAAGATTACCATTAAAATGATGTCTTTGCCTATCAATTTATGAAGTAAGAGCCTGGTTAAAGCCATTATATAATATTTTCACATGTTTTATATACCACTGGAATTTATTTTCTAATTTAATTGCCAAATTCCTAATCTGATTAGATTCTTAGGGGAAGCAAAATTAGTATTGGAGAAAAAATAGGTAAAATAAGGTTTTCTTTACTTTTGTGCAAGTCATGCCAGGCTGTATGTTTCATGTAAGATTAATAGAGGAGTGTTTCAGTTCTTTTTCATTTTATCAGAGGCAAACACTTGCTACTTTATCTTACCATCCCAGGAAACAGAATTGGGTGATATATGCCACAAGTCTAGTCATAAAAGAAGTTCTTGAAAATAAGGTCATCTTGTTGAATTGGCCAGAAATGAGTTGGATAACAAGTCATGCTGATGAAGCCATAAATGGCGTCCACATGGTTTCCAGAGAATAAAATTCTTATCATGCTACCAAATGTGACTGGTTTATAAGTCTGACCTACTGGTGTCTCTGTGAAGTAGTATATTCTTACTAAATTGTTTCCAACTTGTTTCATTCATTTAACAAATATTTATTGAGCACCTATTATGTGTCGGGCACTAACTGTTTCAGGTGTGGGTGATGCAGCAGTGAGAAAAAACATTGCAGTCCTTGCCCTCAAGGAAACCAGAGCTGTTTATGTGAACTACCATTGCAAACATGGTCACCCTCCTATATGAAAATTTGCTTCTTAATTAAATATTCTGATTTTTAAGAGGTTCAGAAGGGATTTTAAACAATTAAAAAGATGAAATGAGGGGATACGAAGTCAGGCCGTAAGATTCAATTAAACAAGTTTAAAAGCAGGACTATTTTTGAACACAAGAAAGAGAACTCACATTTTCAAACAACAAGAACTAACATTTAGAGCACTTCATATGCTCTAGACACTTTGCTCAGTACTTTATATCCATTATCTTATTTAATCTTCACATCTCCCTTATATAAGTGGTACTGTATTATCATCTTCATTTTATGGATCAGCACACTGAGCTTAGACTAATTAAATGTCTTGTCCACTGTAATCCAATCTTGTTTACTAGCATAAACAAGAAATAAACAAAAACAAAACTAAAGCAATCCGTCTCCTATCTTGACATCTATGGAGCAGTTTATCCAGTTTGGCGGGAGGAAACAGAAAAGATTAGATTAACACAGAGTATGAATGCAAGACTAAAAATCAAAGAGTGATAGATTTTAGAAAAATTCAGGGATCTTATTTCCCTGAGATAAGTGATTGATCCTTTTTTTTTTTTTCTCTACCTCTGACGAGCAGAGGTTGTCACAACTCTCTAATCACAAATACAAAATAACAGAAAGTCCTCCATGTTTAAGTCACTGCTCAATGGAGGGAATTTATCAGCTTTGGCTACAAGGATTAGCCACAATCCAAGTGCTGTTGGATATACATGAGTCTTCAAATGGTGATTCCAGCCATTCCTTTCAAATACGTGCTATTTCTTAGTTTCTGAGAACATTTAAAATACGTTTTTTCCTGAATTTGGAAAAGTTAAGACAGAGAGACCTTCATGTTTTTCTCTCATCTAGTATTCAAGACTTCTGTAGGGA